CCAGTTTACACAAGATGTTCCAGAGAGAAGGCTTCCCCCAAGGCTGAGCTCGGGTTTAAGATAGCACAGGGCACACTGAGCCCTTCCTCAGGATGTTTGGTCTCTCTGCCCAGCAGAAATCCTAAACTCAGCTGGAATATCAAGCTTCAGGAGTTACAAACATGTGGGCTAAGGGGTACGAGCGGATGCATAGAGGGTACAGAAAGYGTAAAAAGGAAAAGCAAAAATCATCAGGCATCATCAGTACCTTGCAAAGGGCCAAAGCTGTTTATTCCAATAATCAGTCTCATTTATACACWTTTGTCTGTTATCAATCAYGTTACACGTTCATTGGCCAATAAACTACTACAATAGGTTCATTGATTGTTAYTCAACTACAGCACATCACTATTGGTCACCTACTGCACAAGCATTCAAGCGTTGAGAAAAATGCCAGGTGCGGCCTTTCTGCTGTTTTTCTACTTTTATTGTTTAAATTTCTTAATTTATTTTATTAATCTATTATTTAAATTTGTTTTMATTTMTTTCTGTTRATACAACATTCTCACARGTAGAAATACCAGCTCTAGCACTTGTTTCCCAGGGTTATGGAACTTATTTGTTACCTCTAGTTTMGCTGAATCATTCCYAGAATCCTYCTCTGCTTAGCTAAWGTAACAGGAGAGAGMAGGGATTTTACAGGGGTAACAARGTCCTTGTTTTATAAGGTTTTACTTGCCTGCAGCACAGCTTTTTTGATTGTGATGAACCTTGTATTTCCTTCCTCGACTCCTTTCTGGTTGGTTTTCAAAGGAAAAAGCTGCTGCAGAATGAGGGGGAAGAGAAGAAGAATCTTCTCAATTTCCTCAAGATTTCTCGCAGTCATGCAGTGTTTTCTGCGGTAAAATGAGCAATGTTCCCCTGGTCCCCCATGTTCTGAGTGCAGAACAGGTGTTTATACCTTCATTACCCCTCCCAGTATCTAAAGGCTGCTGGTTTTTTTTTTTTTTTCCTCTGGGAAGCTGCAGGCAAAGTAGTTACAGTTCCAGTTTGAAAAACGATGATTTCTCATGTTAAACATCAGACGTGGTGGCAGGAGGGGCTTTCAGAGATCTCC